AAAAAAAAAAAAAAAAAAAAAAAAAAAAAAAAAAAAAAAAGGCATATATGCCTTCGCAGACCCGAATCTATCACAACAGTAAGAAAATATTTTCTGAAAAAAACCCACATAATGAATACATCTTAAGGTGTTTTGTTTCTCATTTACTGCACACCAATTTATACTTCTCTAGAGAGTAAATAAATTCATAAACAGATAACAGAAATGTATTGAGAGCTACTAAGCAGCCTTAACAGTCTTGATTTCAGGTATAAGGTCTCCCCAGATGATTTAATAAAGCACTAATTGAACAAGGTTTTTTATTCTCTGAATGACATCTCCATTTCTTTTAGTACAGTGGAAATCGGTTCCTGCAAGAGTCTGAGAAGTGCTAAAGGCAACAAGAGTAAGAAATCAGAAAGGCTACTGATGAAAGAAATAGAGGAGATTTGAGCATGCTGATTCTCAAAAGAACAGCTATATTTTTGCTGTGTTTTACCTACAAACTCAGTAGATGGGAAATTACGAAACTACTTGCTAGTCATTCTGAAGCTTACAGCATACACTCAAGTAGACAGTGTTCAGTTTTCACACAAATCAAAGTTATTTTCAATTCTTTAGCATACTCCTATCTTCCTTACTTGTGATTTCAGAGCTGATTGTAGAAACAAGTAAGGCATATCCTCAGAGAGACAGTTCTAAGCAAAATTGTACAACACTTTTATTTCGGAGAGCCTGTTTAGTACCTTACAACTACAGTTATGCAACATCAGTTTATCTAAAATACTTAAAGCAGCTGTTCTACAACAAACTGAATTTTCTATTTATTTTCTTGATTAAAACATAGTATTAAAATCAAGGTCTTTCTTCCAGAAATGACTGAACATCAAAATGTATGAGTACTTTGTCCTTTCTCTTGCACCCTTCCAATTAAAGCAAATTTTCTCTTCTTTCTCTTCGTATTAAGATGTAGAGTCATAATCAAAATTGCTTATTTAAAAATAATACATTTTACATACAAAGTGAAATGCAAGTCTCCAGAAAGAACAGAGAACAAATATTTTGAATTTACCTTTGGTATGCCTGAAGTATCAAGCCAATTCTGGGAGATACTTTCAACAGTTAACTCAGACCTTTAAAAAAAAAAAAAAAAAGTTAGAGTATACACACAAAAATAGACGTTTTTCACATTAAATTTAACGATGAAGTAGCTAAGCAAAACCCAGAGTTCCCAGTACTGGATGTAATACAGTAGTAGTACATTATGGATTTTTTAATGAATAATACCATCAGAGGTGATATGAGCAAACTAAAGACAGATCAGATTTTTTGCATGTTTAAACAAAGGATAAATGGCTATGGACAGAGAATATTTAAGATGGCAAACTGCAGTTATGAAACATAAATTATGAATATGTGCTCCCATTTTTCTTTCTTCTACTGAGAAAAAAACACAAACAAACCCAAAAACATGGGATAAGTAAGTTTAGCTGGAGACACTCAAAACCGGTTGTTACAGAAGCAGTCTATAAGTAAATATAAAGTACTAAAGAAGATTAAATAAAAGAACAACTTCCATTATCTTATGGATTTTAAAGGCACCTATAGATTTTAATCCTCAGAGTTACTGAGTAGTTAAATATACTTTAGTTTAAGTTTAATCTCTCCTACATTTTCTTGATATGCTGATAACACTCAACGTGAAGTCTGGAATAGTCTGGAGCTTCAACTAATACAAAAGAAAATAGCTTGTTTTGACCAAGCAATTTGGGACTAAAATAACCACAGGCAAAATTATTTGTACATTCAGAAATAATATTTCCACTTTTGCTTCTGCAAGTAGCTTGTGCTGAATTTACTTCAGCATAGGCTGAAAACTTCCCAACTTACAGGGAAGCAAATTAAATTTAAAAAATTACACTATTCATGCAGTATGCCAATGCTGAAAAATGACACTGAAACAAGCTGTCTATAAATTCTGAGAATAACATGCACAGTCCTGTGCACTGAAATACCTTGGCAAGACTCATTCTAGTATCTGCAGCTACCCTCAAGTGAAGATCCATAACCCACAAAGTACCCAGAAAAGAACATCCATTCTGAAGTTCTAAAGCAGGAAGGTAAGCTTCTCAGCACTGGTTCTAATTTAACTACATGACAAAGAATTCTATTGGTTTTTATTTTCCCCAACTCTGACAAAGTTCTGCTTAAAATTCTGACCCCACAGGAAGTTTATTTATGGACTGTATCCACGACTATGAAAGAATTTGCAATGAATTCATCAATCGTTTTTACTGAATGATTTTAGAACACCTTTGAATATTAACTTCTGCTAACAATCTGCCGCCACTTGGCGACAGATCAATCACAGTTATGTCTGACATGCAACTAGGAAAATTAATGCTAGAGAGCTTATGAAGTCTTGAAAGCAGTCAATCATTATGATGAAACACTCAACAAAATCATAGAATAAAAATTCGTGTGTTTACTGCTCTTAGTAATTATTATAATTATTTTTAATCTTGTCTAATTTACTTTGGACTGACCAAAGATTTAAATTATTGATGGTTAGGATGATTAGCATGGTTAGCAGCAGCACTTTTCCAGACATGGGTTGTATCTTGACTTAGATATTCTTAATTTCCCTGAATTCAAGATGAAAAGTTTCCCCTCCATCTCTCAACAGAACTGTACGTTATATTCCTTTAAGGTAAACTAATAGTTACAATCTCTACTCCACACCATCATGTTGTCAGATCTACCATGCCTACTCCCACTTAGCAATATTCTGAAGGAAGTATCATTAACAGCAGGCCCGCTTAATAGAATAAAATTCTGTCAATTTGAATTAGAGGCAGGAGTATCTGATTAAAATAGAGTCAGCTGTCTATTCATTGAGTAATTGTTCAGCGGTACCTGCAAAAAATAAGCAGTCTGATCACAATAAGCTTGTCCAAAATACACAGGAATTTTGTAACAAAGGCAAAAATGAATCACCAGGTACCTTAAATGTAAAAAAAACTGTGCTTACAAGTGCTGCCCCGTGTCTTTCAGCTACTAAGATATACTTGCATACACAGGACAGAGCATCATACTAAATATTGTAAGAAGCTGCAAATTAAAAAGGAAAGGGTCATTCTATTCATAGTGACAATGCCATTTACATGTGTTTACAGTCTCTATTCTTTTAACAGTTTTCTTCATTTTTTGATCAGTCATATATTATGTTGCTGACTAAGGAGGCTTAATTTGGAAACATAACCAGTCTATTTAGTGATAGTAGTATATTTCAACAGCTCATGCAATTTAGGTCCCAACCTTTCTCTAAGGCTCTTTACAAGTGAGAAATGACATTATAAGTCTGGCTGAGGTGACTTAAAAAGTTCCACAAAAAAGAGTAATTCCCTAAAAGAAAAAGAAATCTCCCTAATTAATAAATCTGAGAAGTCAAAAACATATCCTGTAACACCAGGAAACAGTAGACTGTCACGGTCTGGAAAAATATATATATATAAAAATTTTCTCATACCATGTGATCCAACCACAGCATTCAAGAAAAAGCATTTTTACATTGGTGAGGATTATGAATTTTCAGGAAATTACCATTCTATATGTCTGATCACTACAGAAGTTGATTTTACATAGGTAACTCAACAGAGATGTCATGCTTGTAGTGGGATGGTCTTCTACATTCAAGTGAATTATATCTAGATTTGGTCCATTTTTAATACTACCTTGTTTTTTATGCAAATTTGGAACATTTAAATGCTAGGTCCTTCAGGCATTATTACATTTATCTCCATGCAGTATTCTAAAAATTGGTGTCTAATTAATCTAGTCAGTTGAATTCCTTCCAAAGAGAATGGGAGGGAAAAAAAGATAAGTCCAAACAGTCAGTACACTTTCCCTGGGATAAGACAACTTTTTTTTTTCTTGAGAGCATCTTACTGCAGTGTTACTGCAAAAAGCACACATAGGACAAGCTTAAAATGAGACACCAAAATTTTGTATAGTCAAAGGTAGATCAGGTGAATCATTTAATTTATTCTTTCTCAAGCAGCATAATCAGAAGAACACTTTTTCACTTTTTCTCTCATGAAACCAGCACAGCTTTATGTTCCAAAGCTGTACAAGAGCTAGCAGCTAGGTAAAAATGCTTTTACATACATGCTTAATTTGTTTTACCTAGGGATAAGAAACACAGCTTCACATTGCCAGTTTCTCCACCTCCTTTTAACAGCCTAGGCAAAACTTAAAATGCAAGATTTTCTCAGAAAAAAAATTATCTAGGTTGAGTGAATACACTGTATTTGCTAAGTAGTGACTTTATTTACTATACACTGTTGGTTTTTTTTGAGCCTGTGACAGATGATGGTGACAGCATATTTAAGAAAGGAAAGATATGCAACAGCAGCTGGGAACAATGAGTGAAAAAATGTAAGCAATAATACTGCATCTCCCGAGATCAGTGCAGGGCAGGAGGAGCTCCAGGTGCAGAGCAAAAGCTCCCATCAGCCCAGGAGAGGCCCATGGAGGAGCAGGCTGTCCCCTTGTAGCCTATGGGCACCAACGCAAGGCAGACCTCTACATTCAGCCATGGGGGAGCCCATGTTGCAGCAGTGGGTAAGACCTGAATGAGATACAGCCCATGGAGAGCCCGCAGTAGGAGCTGTGCTCCAGGCTGGAGCTGCAGCCCTGGAGAGCAACCCTCAAAGGGGCAGGAGGGCTAGGGGAGCTGCTGCCCATGGGGACAGTGGTGGAGCAGTGCCTGGAGTGTGGGCCTCACGGTACAGAGTTGTGTTGGATCAGTGTTGGGTGAACTGCCACCTGAGGCAAACCCACCTAGTATCAGTTTGGCAAGAACCTCTTGTGAGAGGGGTCCATGCAGAGTAGCAGCAGAGTGACCATGAAGGAGCAAGAGAGAAAAAGTGTTATGGACTGACTGCAGCTCCCATTCTCTGATTCCCTGCAACCCTTGGAGGGAGGAGGTAGAAGATAGAAGACAGACTAGGCGGCAAGTTTTTAGCTTGCTTTTAGTTTATACTGCTTTGACCTGTTATGAACTGGCAGTTATCTTCCTATTTTGAAATGTTTTGCCCATCATGGTAATTGTTTAGCAATCTTCTTATCCTTATCTCAACCCCTAAAATCTTTTCCCCTTCTGCCTTTGAGGAGTGGGAGTGAAACCTATCAGGATGAAAGCACTACACCAATTTAGAACTTTCTTGATAGCATTTATCAAAAATATCAACTTTCTGTACATATTACTTTTTTATTTTTCCTCATATGTTTTAGTGTTATGGAGACTATTGCGAAGATCTGCTCTGAATGAGTTGAGAGTCAATACTTAACTGAGAAGTCCTTGGAAAGGTTTCTACCAACTTCCAGCCAAACCCAAAAGATACATCATAGACTCATAGAATTGCTTAAGTTGGAAGGGAGCTCAAAGATCATCTAGTTCCAATCTCCTGCCATGAGCAGGGACGCCACTTTCGTCTAGATCATAAACAAATTACTGTTTCAAAACCCACAAAGAAAGGACTCAGAGCCAAGTATTTCTAGAGGCTGCAATTCAGTAAAGCGCCCATTTTCAGAAAGGGCACTTACCATCTTACATAAGATTACATTACATTACATAAGTTATGTTGCATTTCAGCATCTGTAGGACTTAAATCTGTATGTCTGATTTTCTGAATTGCCTTCTGTTTTAGATAGTGTAACGGGCTAAGGGAATCTGAGCTTATAAAATAGTATGGCAATTGCTTTGCACCACTGTTCCCTGCTGTTAGAACACTAGTGCCTCCTTTATCTTATCCCTTGTCAATTGTTTAGATTAGCTAATCAGATGATGAATGATCTAAATTATATACATATAGTATATATATGGCCAGATGCAATGTTTCAGAAAAAGCTCTGTAAAATACTTGCACTGATGATAATTTCAAAGTTAAAGTTATAAAAACTGTCTACATAGCAAGCTTTCATTGCACTGGGCCCCAAGGCACTTCGGAAACTTTAAACATAAACCCACTTAATTCCTCAATCAAGAAAGAGAATCCACATTAAGAAAAAAAAATTTTGTTCAAATAAACAGAGAACATGAAAGAACATAACTTTTTTGTAGGCTGAGAGGGAGGTAAAGGAAGGCAAAAAGTCAACATATCCAGCTGAAAATACTTCAATAACATATTCACTTCGTCTGGATATATGCATTCGTTCACATAAATTATTTTCAAAGTAAGACGTTCCAGCTAGATGATAAAGCAAAGAGTACTGACCAGTTGGTGGCTGTCAAGAACCTAATAGCTTCCTACAGATAAGTTTTTTTTTTTTCCTTTTAAAAAATATTTTTTTTCTTTTGAAGTGGAATCACAAATACTGGGAAAAAAGGTTGGGAGCCTTCCAACTGTTCATCAAAATCAACATATTCATGGTTAGTAGCCTTCAGTGTGAGTATCCAAGAAGGATAGCATGAAAGAAAGAGACATACACCTACGTAGACAAGTGTTTTGAAATTACAGCATTATTTTAGCATTGATTTCTTAATAAACTGAAAGTCTATGTAGATGTCCAAAGAATGTGGTTAGTAGGTCCGAGTTATTAGCAATATGAATAGCAGAAATATAACACAATCCGTTCTTTGACTATTCTGCATTATTAGAACAATAGATTTATTAATCCTCTTATTTTATTGAATCATTGAATCAAATAAAAAAAATCACCACAGAACTAGCACAAAAAAGATTTGCACTCATAAAGAGCACAAACAGCTGCAACTCTGATTTATCTGAGGTTGACAAATCTCACTCTGTACTACAGGACCTTAAAAACACTGAGTTTCTGCATGGTTTACATGCTGGGCAGATGTGAAAAGGAAATGTGAAAATGTAAAAATCAGTTTACATTAAGGAATATAGATTTAAGCCTTAAGAAGAGCAGAATCACAGAAAGTTTTGATCAAAAGTTAGTGGACCACTATACAAAGACATGTAAGAGTAGTTTTGTTGTTGTTTGGCTTGTTTCTTAAAAAAAAAAAAAAAAAACTGCAATGAAGTCTCAAATTCCTCAAATATGAGAAAATAAGATATCCCAGTTACAAATGAGTAGTATTACAGATTTCTTAGTAGTTACAAGTCAATAGAGAGCTACAGCCAGAGCATATAATATTTTAAAAGGCTTTGAAACAATAACAGATAATGTCTATAGGCAAGTCTCCTTCTTGTCATTAGCCCCTTACAGAGAGAAATTGACCTCAGGTGCAAACTAGTTGATTCTAGGCCTGTTGGTCAGAACCCAGCTGCAGTGCAGAAACAGAAGGATCTGTCTCTGAGAATGGATTCCTGTAGCTAGCAAAACTGAGTCAGAGTAGGAAGGAAGTATCTAGGTATGTAGTCCTCCTACTCTATGTATGGAAGACAGCAAAATCAGGGACTGCATCTCCAGATGTCTGTATTTTGGAGCTGTTCATCATTGGGAATGTACTAAAAAAAGCTCTTGTAACTAAAACCTGGTGTACTTATGTTTGGCAAAAGAGAAAAACTTACAGTCTGCTGCATCAAAAAGCAGAACAGTAATGTACCATTACTCCATTACTACTACTACTACTACTACCAAGTAATAATTACAGAAAATTTCCACACTTTAGTGCAATTGCTTTCTTCCAGTTCTAATGCTACTCTCATTATGGAAGTCTCCCAATGAGCCAAACTCTTCTCTTAGCAACGCTAAGTGTGCCTCTTTTGCCATAGCTGACTTAGGCCTTGGCTTCATTCCATACTAGTAATTTATTTCAAGGCAATATTAGAATGCTTAATATTTTTCAAGGAAGAAGTGTTTAGGTTTAATGTTAAAATTTTACTTGGTAGAATTGGATAAGAATGAGCAATTTTATGTGCTACAAAGAGTTCGAATTGTTGCTCTGCACTTCGTGTGTACTCTATTTCTGTGGTTGAACCTTTATGCAAAAAAAATCCACTTATCAACAGATAGTGTTGATAACAGATACTCTGTTTTTACCTTTTTGCCCTTCACTTTTCCTTCAGGCTGTTTTTGTTTACTACCAACAGCATGCATTCAACAATGAAAAAAAAAATCTTTGTAGCAGACAAGAAATAAATGCCTCCTCTCTATTCACGTGTTCTGTTACTCCAGGCACTGCTGTTGATATCTACATTCAGGGTGATTTTGAGAGTACATAAGTTCAGATAAACTATATGTCTGGCTGTAAAATTAATTTCCATAGATCTGAAATTTTCTATGTATTATTCTGGAGAGTGATGCAAAACAAATACTTCCATACTTCCTTTGCATTGGTCTTACTAAATGTTTACATGTATCTTGGCTGAAAATTGGCTGCTTATTCAAATAACACTTTACATTGGGCAATGGAAAAACATGTGAGAAAAGGAAAGTGAAGTTTCTTTTAGCAAATCAAAGTATAATCAAATCACTAGATAATTCACTTCCTCATATTCTGTATATTCTCCACTTAATGTTCCTGATTTCTGTGGTGCTGGGAATCCCTATCCAATGATACAAACCACACAGCATTCCAAGGTAAATCTTTGGAAAGCGTAACACCACTCATGGTGGCACAAACCAATATATCAATTATAAGTATCTTCCCTGTCTCTCACTCCCTAGAACAGAAGCCTTTCACTAAAAATCTCAGAGCATTTCGCTTTATACTTCCTTTTTTTTTTTTTTTTTTTCAGGAAAAATCTAAACTCGATAAAGACTTTCAGAATCATGCTTCCGAAAAATGTGTTTTTTCCAGTAGATGTGCTATTTTTTAAAATATGCCACAGTTCACTGCAGAAGAATCTGTATTTGTAGTACAGTCCACAGTAATACAGAACTAACCAACAAATAAGCAGCGACAGATTCAAGTTTCTGTTAAAGACATGCTGTGTCATGTTCAGCCAGTCACACAGAGGATTTCAAAGGACATGAGAGATGCTTAACACTGGATTTCTGTAAGTGTTTTTCATCTTTCCCTCATTTGGCACACTTTGTGACAAGGAGAGGATACTACCATAGTACTGCTTGCGTAAAAACCTTCTCTGCTCTCCTAGATCCAGGGCAAAGCTCTTCTTCTTGCTCTCAGGCTTCATGTGCCAAAAGCAGCACAGGCAGGAGGATCACAGATTAAGCTGAGTAGCTGTGCCTAGCACTTCAGGTCACACAGTGAACACAAAACCTTTTTTTTGGTTGCCTTAACATTAGAGACACAGCTTGAGGAGGAGCATGAAATAGCAATATCACAAGTCTTATATTTTTGCTTCTACGTGTGAATGAGAATTTATAGAGATAGATGCATATGCTTGAATGCAACATACAGAAAACAATAAGTGAAATACTATTTCTGGCTAGCATTGCTGAAAATTAAATCTGACTCCACTATTAGAATTCTATGACTTTACTAGCCTCGTTCTCACTTACTCTTTTTGTTCAGGTATGTCTTCCAACAGCGTAGAAAGAAAATCCTGGAAAACAAACAAAACACCACAAATAGTGTGTTTATGAAGAGATAACTATGTGTCTGCATTGCTAAAAAGCAACAGATTTTTAAAGACTGCATATAATAAACGATAAGAACAAAGTTTACATATCTGCCCTGGTGCTATACTGCCCAATTATTTATACAACAAGCATTATGTTTGTCAGTTTTTCAACCCATTCAAGGAAAAAGTGTCAATATTGAAAGAAAATGGACTTGAAAAGCTTGTTGACTATTTCAACATAATCCTTTTTAATTTCTCTATAAGAATACACAAACTATAGCTGTTAAAAGCTGGAGATTCATATACTCAGAGGGTCATAAACATCAGAGTCAGGGGTATTCTTCACATTCTCTTCATTGTTCTTGTGCTATCACGTTATCATTGATGTATAATTATTTATGAAAATATCATTAATTATATGAACATATTTTAATGTTGGCTGTTTTTTTTTCATTCCTCTACGCACCCAATTGATCAGAAGGCCACACCTACCCTGACAAAATTCTCAGTCTTGCTGTGAATCACACCATGGAGTAAATTCTTCAAAGAGAAGGAAGACAGAATTTCTTTCATGGATTAAGAAGGAAAGTGCTATGACAGTGGAACAACATTACTATCATCCTCACTTATAACAGCATGATAAGACCTCTTTATAGAAAGTTCCACTTGACATTACTGAATGGCTCTCTGACACCCCATGCTATCCACAACCTAGCATTATTAAAGACAGTCACTCTTCATCGGTCAAAATACCCACAAAGCATAGGAATCCTTCTTCACACTTGCTAAAAATTTGGACTCATCTCTTCTGTCTTATCTTAATTGTTTGTATTTCAATGCTCCAAAACAGAATAGGAAAACAAAGTACTTCATACTTCATATCTACATGTCTTCATGTCTTTTAACGTTTGCTGGTTATTAATTCTGCCTGACATACCACCATCATAGGACTGACTTTTCAGTTGCTTATAATTTTACCAAACATTAAATATCAGGAGTGACTTTTCAACCTCAGGCTATTTTTGCCTTCCTTTCCAAGTAAAATGGTTCAGAGCAGTTAAATCGCAAATCTGGGAGATTAAGATTTAATGCCATTTTTTTAAGAGACTCTAGTGACCTTAAACTTTGAAGCAAAGACTTGTGGATGGATGGCTGAGTCAAATAACAAAACAAAATACAACTTGCACTTTTTTTCTGACAAGAAATTCAGTGAAGTCAGAAAGAAAACACAAGTTAGCAATCATGTCACCACAGTGCATTATTGTTAACAAATTGGCTTATTAATATATATTTTAAATCATATTGCATTATTTTATAATTTTGAATGATCTGTTATTATTAATAATATTAGTAGTAGTAGCACTAAATAATCTCAATTCCCTATGTGCTCCTATTGCTCCTCTGTGGCTGGAAACTCAGAGGCTAAAAAACAGCTTTTCCTTATAGACAGAAAATGTTACTCTGAAGTTTGTGAAATGAATAATGAATATTAAAGGAAAAAAATCTTTTTTTATCAAAAACTCAAATCTAGATATTATTAGTGATATTATACTTCATGATAAAAAAATAATTTCAGTTCAACTCTCTAATTAAATATACATAAATAAAGTTGTATAAAAGCAATAACTCAAGATGGTATATCTAAAGGGATGTTCAGTTAGTAACAAATGCTTTTTTGCTCCAGATGCATTTACATCTAATTCTTTATGGAAACTACTGACTCAAACTATCTCAATCAATTATACAACTTTAAAATTACTTTAAAAATTGGCAAACATTATTTTGTCCCTTTTGGGGGTGAAAATAAATAATAAGCACTCTTCTTAGGATGCAGGTGGAAGACTGGATGCCTGAAAAGCCAACTGTGTGGGATGTGGCAAAAGAAGGATGGCCAGCATGACAAGGAAGGTGATTGTCTCCCTCTGCTCTACTCTTGTGAGGCTCCGCACGGAGTGCTGCAACAAGGCCTTGGGCCCCAAGTGCAATGAAGACATGGAACTAGTAGAGCTGGCCTGATGATCAGAGGGCTAGAACACTTCTCCTATGAAGAAAAGTTGAGGGTGCTGGGCTTATTTAGCTTGGGGAAGGCTCTGGGAGACCTCACTGTGGCATTCCAATACTTAGAGGGAGCTTATAAACAGAAAGCAGACTGACTTTTTACACAGACAGATAGTGATAGGACAAGTGGAAATGATTTTAAACTAAAAGAGGGGAGATTTATCGGGAGGCTGGTAATAAGCGGTCCACCCCAGGAGACTGTCTTAGGAGTGGTGCTCTTTAACATCTTTATCAATGACATCAATGAGGGAATTGAGTGCATCCTCAGCAAGTTTGGTGATGGCACCAAGCTGAGTGGTATGGTTGACACAGTGGAAGAAAGGGATGCCATTTAGACCTCAATAACTCGAAAGGTGGACCTGGGTGAATCTAATCAGGTTCAACACAGCAAAGTGCAAAGTTTTGCACTTGGGCCAGACAAACCCCAGGCATCCTTACAGACTGGAAGGAGTGGTCCTTGAGAGCAGCCCTGCAGAGAAGGACCTGGGGGTCCTGGTTGATGAAAAACTTAACATGAGTCAGCAGTGCGCTCTAGCAGCTCGAAAAGTAAATAGTATCCTGGGCTCCATCAGAAGAGGGGTGGCCAGCAGGGACAGGGAGGTGATTGTCTCTCCACCATGCCCTCGTGAGGCCCCATCTGGAGTACAGCATCCAGGTCTGGGGCCCCCAGTACAAGAAAGATGCAGCTGTTAGAGAGTGTCCAGTGGAGGGGCTCCTGATCAGAGGACTGGAGCACCTCCCCAACAAAGACAGGCTGAGGGAGCTGGGCTTGTTCAGCCCGGAGAACAGAAGGCTGCGGGGTGACCTCAGTGCAGCCTTCCCGTACTTAAATGGAGCCTACAAGCAGGAGGGGAGTCAACTCTTCACAAGGGTAGATAATGGCAGGACAAGAGGAAATGGTTTTAAGTTGAGGAAGAGAAGACTTAGGTTGGATATTGAGGGAAGTTCTTTACCAAGACAGTGGTGAGGTGCTGGAACAGGCTGCCCCAAGTAGGCCTTGGATGTCCCGTCCCTGAAGGTGTTCAAGGCCAGGTTGGATGTGGCCCTAGGCAGCATGGTCTAGTATTAGAGATGGAGGTTGGTGACCCTGCATGCAGCAGGGGGGGTTGGAGCTTCATGACCCTTCAGGTCCCTTCCAACCCAAGCCATTCTATGATTCTATGATTTAGATTAGATGTCAGAGCGTGTTGAGGTACTGTCACAAGCTGCCCAGAGAAGTTGTGTATGTCCCATTCCTGGAGACAGTCAAGGACAGGTTGAATGGGGCCCTTGGCAGCCTGATCTAACGGGCAGCAACCTTGTCCACAGCAGGGGTTTGGAACTCGTATATGCGCACAGTTTAAATATAATCAATGAAAAGTCAAAATATCTAAGTTTGAAAAACAATTCTATTTGTTTGAACTTTAACAAATAAAAGAAGTTGAATAGAAAGAAAAGCATATGGTATGGCAAACAGAGTGCCAACCACTGAACAATTAATGGAGAACAAAATACCGAACAGCTGCTTTACATCTGATTAGCACCTATTTTACATAATCTTTGGGAAGATCTTTTGGAAAGATCTTTGGGAAAAAAAATATAAATGAAAGAATTGTGATCATGTAATAGTTAAAGAATGTCCCACATTGCATACATGTAAGGAAAGCCAGCAAAGGTTCTTGCTACACAGCTAAAATATTTCAACGAAATAAGTAGGAATATGTTTACAGAATCACAGACTCATAGAATGGTTTGAGTTGGAAGAGACCTTCAAGACTGTTTCAAACACCTCTGCCACTGCGTAGGACATCTTTGTCTAGATCATACTGCCCATAGCCTCACACAAATTGGTCTTGAACAGTTCCAGGCATGGAGCATGCACAGTTTCCCTTTGCAACCTGTTTTAATGTCTCATCAGAGTTGTCACAAAGAACGTCTAATCAAACTTTACCCTCTTTCAGCTTAAAGTCCTTGCCCCTTGTCCTATCACTGCATTCCCTGACAAAGAGTCCCCCTCCAGCTTCCTGTACGTTTCTAAGTACAGGAAGACTGCAATGAGGCCTACCTAGAGCTTTCTCTTCTCCAGATGGAACAATCCCAGTTATCAGCTTTTCTAAACAGAATAGGTACTCCAGTCAATTGAAAGAGGAAACTAATTCAATATGAGTAAAAATGGCCCATCTATTTTATTTTACAAGCACACGAGAGTAAAGAAAGCAAAGACCCTTGTCCTATAGGCTGCTGTGGCTGGGACAGTGTCAGAATCCACACCACACTCCATGGATTTCAACAGCTGTTTACTAAAGCTCACAAGTCAAGCATGGAACAGCTGAGGCCAAACTGCAATTATATAAGTTTAAATAAAAATAAGTATTAGGAAAAGATTCTAGATGATGAAACATCAAAATACATACAGACTGCATTCTTAAGCTTCCAATTCTAGGTGAAACAGTTCTAAAAACAGACAGTTGAATGACTGTGAATGACTGTGAATGAATGTGTGCACAGACCAACTTTTGGTGTGAAAAAGATAATCGCATGCACATACATAAAAAGGTATGCAGGAAAATGTTGATGTAGACATGCACACTAAGCTTGGATTCATACATCTGCCTTTAAAACTTCCAAGTATAGCATAAAATATTATTTTTTGAAGCGCTGTCTTCTTATTTGTCATTTTACATGAGCAAACTGTAGCTCTGTCAGATGATTGAACACTACAAACCTTTGGTTATTATTGTAACAGAAGTACATAAAAATGAAAGGCTGCAAACAGTTCAGTTTCCAATGTGTTCTTATTTCAATATCAAACTGAACAACTTTAAATGCATTACGAGTATCAGCAACTTGCACTCCTGGATATTTATTCATAGTCAGTAACACTCTATCCATTATTTAAAAAATTCATTCAATGCAGTATTAAGTGAAAGAAAAATGGAAGACTTTCTTAAAATCCTTCTTGGAGATGCCTGACTTGTCTGTTCACGACTCAACTAAAACAAACAAAAACTACTATTAAAAACATACTGAGCATGCAATCAAAATGAGGGAAAAAAAGCACTGATTAATGTTTCACATCTGAAGTCATTTCCTTGCACCTGCAGCTCTCATCTACGAAAAGTACTACAAAAACCACTGAAAACAAGACTGGTATTCAGAACGTGGACAATTATTTTCACTACTTTTACTTTACCCCTTCCCCACAATTCCTAAAGCTGAAAACTTCTACAGTTATTTTGGACAAGCTGGAAGTACAACATTATGACATTTAAACTTACCATTCATACCTCAATTTATTTTAAATCTTTTATTCATTTAAACCTGGACAGCACATTTGCTCAGGCAGGATCCTGAATAATAAACTTTATACTAACTTGACTTCATTACTCCTGCATTTTCAGTTCCTGCTGTGATTATTTATCTACCAATACCAACATAAATACAGTCTTTAAGATTTCTTACAGAGAAAGAAAACACATTTACGGTTGGATATAGTCCTATTTGCTTTGCACTTGCTAACATACTGATCAAACAACGGGTTCATGCTAAAATTCAGCCTTGCCCTTAATTTACAACTATACACCTGCCTAAACAGGATTAACTCTTCCCATCAACCCAGTAGGAACTCGATTTACGCTGGTATGAAACAAGGTAAAAGTACGAAAAGCATCGCCTCTTTATACCTGATTCTCAAGCAAAGCCATTTAGGAATGTTCAAGACATCCAGCTCTTGCTAAAAATATTTACTGTATATAACCAGAGTACTTCAATAGTATAGTACACAGTAAATCAAGATCCACCAAATCAAATATCTTCAAATAAGCACCTGTTTTTGATCTACATTAAGCACATAGCTATGTACATACTCAAATAAAAAGCAGCCCAAGAAAACTAAAATAAAAGCATCACTTACTCTTGCTTGACTAATTAAAAAACATTAAACAGGTTTTTATCCAATTGCTCAAAGCAATGGTTTTTCTGTGCAGAAACAGCATATGAGACTAGAGTAAGATAAGCAGTAAACTGATGTTTCATAGCAAAGTGCTGGGCAGAATAAGAAATCTCTAGGTACAATAACTAGTAGCATAATGTGCTAGAACATCTTGCAGCATTTGAACACTGCAGACACAGCTCATCTCATGTCAAGAAGGAAAGTGATCTAGTAGCAACTAGAGCCCTTTTTCTCACCAAAATTCCTGCATCTGACTATAATCAGATTAAAACACTAAGCTACTTCAGGCCTTTAGTACTTTCATGATTTCTGTAATTTTCAGAACATCTCAAGTTGTGTAATTCTGGAGCTCACATTTATGATTTTGGACACAATCATAGGGACAAAGCTTGTATAGTCACTGGTGTTTTCCACTCTATGCTAAATACAACTGCTCAGGGTCTAAGTAACACAGTACAGGAAACAGTTGTAGCAGTGGAAAAATTAACTGCCTCAGCACCCCAAATATTCCTCTACAGGGCAGAATTGCTGCAGTTGAGCAATTAAACTTAAATATTGTGTGACTTGACATAAAAAAGAATCTGCAGGCCACTGAGTTATTTTTAAAGATACAGAGACAGATGGCCCGTTCAGTGTGAGAACCAAAATACCAGGCGCACTGAGCAAAGAATCACTGCCGTGGAAGAAAGAGGAATGTGTTGGACTCCATTCCCTCAAGAGCAGAGACCACATATTCTGTGTTGCAAGGAGAACACATAGATTTATCAATGATTTATCTATGATATCCATGATATTCACTGTCCTGAATCCTCTTTAAGATTTAAACTGTCACACCACAAAACACAGTCTTCAACAAAGAAACTAATTTCAGAAATTCACTCATGCCCCTTCTCTCTTTTCCTGCTCTTCACTCTCATCACATTGCTCTCCTATTTGTCATGTCATGGCTTTTGTTCCAGGACTGTTTTTAACAATGATGACTTCAGTGAACTAGTTCATACACTTCCACAAATAACTATGTTTGCAACATTACAGATGCAAAAAGATGCTGTGAATGTTTCATCACTAGTGAAATGTTCCTTAGAACTTTGGGCTTAGAGAGTTATGTCTTTCCTTTTTCAAAGCAATAGACCTGAGAAGACTATTTTTTCTTTTAGTGATATAGGTAGAGGTTACAGGACCTTTTCAGAAAGATCTGGGGGAAGTCAATTTCTATCTATAACTGCAGTTGGGTTTTCTACCTAAGAGATGCTACAGTATTCTGTGGTGTGACTTACTCAATCTTTCTGTCTGAAGCCATTCTACTTTACATGGCATAATTGTATAATATTTATGTCAAGTATGAAAGAAGCTAAGTCTGTAGTGCAAGTGATTCATATGTGTAGTGGATTTTGGAAGGGCAAATTCTGATTCTTAATTCAGCGCTATTTTTCAAAAGCCTAGCCTTTACCAATCCAAGAAGAAATAATTTTCTATGAGAATATCTGCTCTTGGCTGCCACTGCAACAGTGCATCTTAAAATATCCTTTGTGGTTAATACTTCAGCAACAGAAAGAGGCAAGAAATTGTTTTAGACAGCATGAGAGTATGGAGCATGATAAGAAAACCTTTAAAGGTGATGTGATAAGACTGTAATAAATGTGTGTGCAATGTCATACTGTGACAGTGACACTGACAGTGGGGAGGAGGCAGTTCTCATAAGAAAGACTGAAATGAAAAGAACCAAACAAAGCAACACAATCAGAGGAAGGAATAAAGGAAGAATGTAACACGCATACACCGTTTCTACTTATAGAGTTACATTCCTACTCTGTGTTTCTTCTTTCTCAAGAAAAGAGAGTTATCCAGGAAGATACTGATTACAACTAAAATCCAGAAATTAAAAGAATACAATACAAGAGACAATTACAGGACAGTAAATGACCTGTATTTGAGAACATCAGAAGCTATGAACACGATCTTTCCAAGTATCAAGCTGACAGCCTAAAACAAATTTAATCCATTGCTTACATTATTTGATACATACAAGGAATCAGATTCAAGTATCACAGTGAAAAATGGTATTGCCTCCTAACAGTCATATCACCAATACCACTAAGCTACAATTGCCGTTCATTTTCCACCACAACCAGAAGTAGTCATTTAGATAGCCAAACAGAAAGTTGATGTCCTTTGTGTTTCAAAATGTGAGTAACAATCCTGAACACTGTACCTGAGAAAGAACAAGCTGTCCGTGGAATTTATGGATGAATTTTCGTAAAGATGCAAGGTATGAAGCCTCTCCTAATGTACTTGCCAGAGACCGCAAAAGAAAATAACCCTGCAAGAAATTAAGCAAAAAACAAATAGGATGCTATGAATACACTGATATCTAGAAGAAAGAAGTCTTTGTAGTAAACCAATGTCAATAAAAATCAGCTTACAAAACTCACCTTTAAATAATGAACTTGCATGAATACTTTTTCTGCTTTAAGACCATGTTTGACAAAAGATGCTCCAGATTCACTCACTTCTCCCGTACTCTCCTTGTGAGGCCTAAAATGGTAAGAGACTAGTGAAGTCTTGGATAAGTAAGAAATAGCTCATGTATTACATCTTCTCATAGTTGAACCACTGTACACGTCCTAGTAACTTAAAAACTTCAGCTGGGATAGAAAAGAAAGCCATTACCAAGTTAGTGCACTATCTTTACTGACAGGTTGACATTATGTTACATGCCATCCTACAATGCACAGACACATTATGAAGAAACAAAACAGAAAACAGACATTTTAAGCAAAAGGGAAGAGAAGGATAATGCAGTCATTATATTCAACTACAGATTCTCTTCTTACACCTGAGTGCTGGCTTAACAGCTTACACAGTTATATTTACAAGAATAAATTCTTTCATTCATATGTAATACATTGCAGAAAAAAATACTTTTTTGGCTTTCATTTTGGTGTTTGTTGTTGGAAGAAAAATTTCAAAGTTTTAAAAGAGCAAGCCTTACAAACACATGCTGTCAACAGTTTTTGAGCTGGTGTGGCCCAGTTCCATAACAAAATGGGGCAGAGGAACCCACAGATTCACACTCTGGGAGAGTGGGAAGGGGGAAAAATGAGAAAGAGTAGGGGGATAGACCTAAAAACAAAACAACGGCAATGAGATAAGGGAGGAAACTAATGTACTAAATATAATAGCAGAATCTGAGATAACACAATATAATAAAATATGATTGGAAATTAATTAAAATGGGAGAAAATGTCCAAAACCAAAGGTCTTACTCCACTTCTGAAGGTAACATGGCTGGGAAGCACACACAGAGACAAGCAGTAAAAGGAAAAGGTCATCTCATGACTTCTGAGCAGTTTTATCTTTCCCTCTAAACAGAAAATGGAAACGGAACAGTGAAAGTCCTCTGGGAGATGCAGTTCTTCTTTTCTGAGAACCAGGTATCCAAAACTATCAACAATCCACGGAACTGGGGCCTTAACTCTTTAATCCCCAGTGTACTACATGATGTTATGATGTGGAATATCAATGACAAAAATCATTAGAACCATGACATGCACGTTTGTGTGTGTAGTGGAAATGCTAAGTCATGACCTGAAACAATGATCAAGCACCTGGTGGGAAGGCAGGGCCGACCCAGGGGAGCTCAGGTGGAACTGACTGGAAGCGATGGAGTCCACTTCTTCTCAGACGTCATTTAAAAGTTGGCAGTGGAGATGAGGGCATCTCTTGCCAGACATACCTGACTGCTTGAGGCTTCCAAGGGTAAGCAGCTCTTTTCCTTCATTTCTGTATCTGTGCCTGCTGTATTTGAGCTCATGTTCATTTGCTGTAACCAAGGACTTTGCCACCCTGCTATTATCATCTGATTATAGCATTACATGGTTTTCAGACAAATATAGAATAAACTGCCTGATTTTAAAACATAATACAGAATCTGGTGTGCATGAAGTTTATGGCAGTGAAGTCTGAAGGTTTTCTAGGCTCTTACAAGCACAAACTAAAACTAAAGAGAAGCTATGAAAACATAGCTTTTCCCATTTCGAAAATATCCCACCAAGCAGTGGTCTGAGAAGAGATGCTTGTCTTAACAGCCTATCCCTGTTACTGAACCAACCTCTTTAAATCTTCTGGTGGATTTTGAATTGCTAGCCTCAGAAACCAAACATACTTTCCCCAGTTCAAGAGAATAAGAGCAACACAGGCCACAGAGTGCAGACTTCTTCAAACCACATACCCTCCCTTCACTTCTCATAAGTAGTCCCAATAGTCAAACTTCTTTCAGATCCATATCTGCTTTGAGAAATTTTTTTTTTTTTTGTCTCTGCAGTGCTCTCTTATTACAATTTTGCCAATTTTTTATTATTATAACAATTAAGCCATTTTTTCCTCAAGTGCTAGCTTTATAACCTGAACACATCAAATTCATTATACACATTAAAATCTCTGGCAAAAGGTAACTGTTTAAAATAGAAAAAGAAAATGATGTTTAAATTTTATGTTGTTTCTAACACACAGTCCTTTACCATGCAGTATTTATATATGGCAAAGGAGATAAGTGATAGTAAGAAAGGCTTTTTTAAGTATGTCAACAGTAAAAGAAAGACTAGGGAAAATGTGGGTCCCTACTAAATGTGAGCACACAGTGTCCACCCTCAGCAAGTTTGCTGACGATACAAGATTGGCAGGAAGGCTGACACAGCAGAAGGCTGTGCTGCCATTCAGTACGATCTGGACGGGCTGGAAAGCTGGGCAGAGGGGAACCAGGTGACGTTTAACAAGAGCAAGTGTAGAGTCTTGCGCCTGGGGACAAATAATCACATGCACCAGTACAGGCTGGGGGACCACCTGCTGGAGAGGAACTCTGTGCAGAGGGACCTGGAAGGCCTGGTGGACAGCAGGTTGGCCATGAGCCAGCAGTGTGCCCTGGTGGCCAAGAGGGCCAATGGCATCCTGGCGGGCATTAAAAAGAGTGTGGCCAGCAGGTCGAGGGAGGTGATCCTCGCCCTCTGCACTGCCCTGTTGAGTCCTCACCTGGAGTTCTGTGTCCAGAATGGGCTCCCCAGTACAAAAAAGACAGGGATCTCCTGGCAAGAGTCCAGCGGAGGGCCACAAACATGGTGAAGGGCCTGGAGCTCATCTCTTACGAGGAAAGGCTGAGAGACCTTGGTCTGTTCAGCCTTGAGAGAAGAAGACTGAGAGGGGATCTGATCAATGCCTATAAATATCTAAGGTGTGGGAGGCAAAGGTACAAGGCCAGGCTCTTTTCAGTGGTGCGTGGTGACAGAACAAGTGGAAATGATCACCAAGTGAAGCATAGAAAGTTCTGCAGAAATATGTTTAAGAACTTCTTCAGGGTAAACGTGACAGAGCACTGGAACAGACTGCCCAGAGTAATTGTGGAGGCTTCTCTGGAGATGTTCGAGACCCACCTGCACGCCCACCTGTGCAACCTGACCTAGGGAGCCTGCTTTGGTGGGGGCGTTGGACTTGATCTCTAGAGATCCCCTCCAGCCCCTATAATTCTCTAATTCTGTGATTTTCTAATTTTCTTTCAGGAGAGATCCTCCTTCAATGTTGAAGGACGAATTAAGGACACCTTATTTTATGATAACTTCCATTCTTCAAGACAGTGTAACCACTGGCAATACCTAGGCAATATCTGCAACAGTGTGTAAATGCTCAGAAAGTTACTGTTTTATGCTGTCAGTACTTCAGTACACTTGTGTAAAGCAGTGGTTAGTGTATTTACAGCACAGAGACCAAAAGTTTGTTACACTGACCTGCAGAATCTGACATCTAGTCTAGCAGATTAAGCTAGGCATAACAATAAAGGCAAGATGAATCAAGGTATTTAAGCTACTACTTGACAGGTCTTTGTTACTGCCACATTTCTGCATGAAGCAAAAGACGCTGCTTTTGTTAGTGAGGATAAAGTAAAAATACCAATCCCTAGGAAATCCGTGGTAATTAAATGGCTTGACAATGATGAAAAGTTACTCAGAGACTATGAGAGAATAGTGAAGGGCACATTTCCTCACAGAGTGATAGAATAAACTCTTTAAATACCTACAGAGCAGGCACAGATCTATGTTTCAGGAGTGAAATGGGTAAGGTCACTGATATGACTCAAGTGGAACTCAGAAAAACACTCAGATGTCAAAACTGCTTTGTCTTCATGAACAATCTCAAGCTGAAGTTCAGTTGTAAGGATCAGGACAGGATACAATCTCAGTACCACTTTTTGTTGTCACTGAATGAAAAAGACATCTCTAGTCTTTATTTTCGTACCATGGGGAAGTGGATAACAGAGCAGGCATTGACACTGGCCAGCAGATGAGTGCCAGGACACTCATATTTTGCTTTTATCCCTTCAGATTTGCTTCAAACTCTGAGAAAATATACAGTTTGGTCTGTAATCATATCATATATGAGTAATACATTTAATTGACATAAATCCCTTCTTTAATATTAAGATTTGTTGGTGCTGCCTTTCAGAGTTCCTGCTTGCTGAAAAGACTTATCTATTTCTGTCACACCTGGCTTTGTTTTTTGCAGGTAGCATCCAAGAAGTTACTATAACATAATAAAAAATATCCATAATAAGAAGAAACATAATGCTAATGATTGTATCTGAATATATTCATTTCCTGGAACAAAAGTGAATAGGATCAACTGTCAAACTTCACACAGGTTTTTCCTGCTGTCTGATGAAAACATAGAAAATCATGTAATTGTCCAGGAGAGAACAAAAACACTCGTGAAAAAGGTTATGTTCAGAAAGCAGGCCTGATGATTTCTGTCTTCCTGACATAATTAGCAAGAAGGGACAGTCACCATTTATTTTCAGTATCCTTGCATAAAAACACAAGCCTGAACCAGCACAACTCAATAGGGACTTAAAACTCAGCGCAAATCAAAGACATGAAATTTTCTCTTGAACACCAACACTAGAACACAGACAGACATACTTTCAGGTATATAACCAAATCAGTATATTTGCAAAAAGAGAACATTTTTCAAGTCCACAATAGAATGACAAAAACATTCATAAAAATAAAAAATTGTAAAAAATATTTATATCTGACTGAGAGCTGTAGAAAGTCCTTAAATGCAACCAAAGGAAACTGGAGCAATCAAAGAGGCAGAAACTGACAGAATCCCAAACTGGCATCATAATTGTCTCCAGAAGTGCATAGTAGAGGCATATTTTTCAAACAAGAAATGATTCTCATCCTTTTGTATTAGCACTGAGAATTCTACTACATGCAATGTAGTAAATGCAAGAAGTTTATTACAGATGCTCATGTCTACTACGTAAATGAGTAGAAAATCTAAGTATCAGTTTCAAGATCATAGACTCATAGAATGGCTTAGGTTGGAAAGAATCCTAAAGGTCATGTAATGGAGCCCACTTGCCATGGGCAAGGCTGCCACCCACTATATTATTTTGCCCATGCAACCTGCTCTTGGATACCACGAGAGATGGGCCATCCACAGCTTCTCTAAACTGTGTTCCAGTGCCTCATCATCCCTGTCATAAAGAATTTCTACCTCATAGTTAATATAAATTCTGATCTAAAGACATTACCTCTTGTCCAGTCACTATACACTCTGATAAAGAGTCCCTCTCTAATAAAGAACCCTTGCAATGTACCAGAAGACTACAATGAGTCTCCTGGAACCTTCTGTTCTTCAGGCTGAACAAGCACAGCTCCCTCAACTTTTTTCATACGAAAGGTGCTCCAGCCTTTTGATCACTTTTATGGCCTCCTCCAAAAGCTCCACAACTTTCCTCTTTCCAGTGCTGGAGGCCCCTGACCTGGACACAGTAGTTCCATGCAGTAGAGTACAGTCACTTCCCTTGTCCTGCTAGCTATAAGATAAAGAGTTTCAAACTGTAACAGATATTTTGGCCCTTAGAAGAACAATCTTTAAAGTTTACAACACATACACATCTTAGTCATATCATTTTATTCAGATTTGGCAGTTACATGCCATAGTCTGCATGTGCCTGTCTTCAGCCATAGAAAATATATTTGTTGCTCCTTCAAATATGAACTTTGTTCAGGAAATGTTTTCCCCACCCCACACCACCCCAGATATAGGGAAACTCTTGTAAACTGCTTGGAGACATTTTATACCAATCTAAATCCCATTTGGAAAGCTTTCTGTAATAGACTGAAAAGTAATTGCATTATAGAGAAGATGAATAACCTCATCAATTTAAGTTGACTTTTCTTTTTTTCTTTAGAAGGAAATAAGGAAGTGTAGTGGATTTAATCACATGTATATCCTTTGAAAGGAGAAAACAGTAGAAAACAGCAGGAAGGAAGGGAGGGAGGAAGAGAGGGAGAAAAGAATATGAGAAAGCAAATATTACACCATCACAGCTTTACCTTAAAACTTGCAGCTCTTCTTCAGAGTTCTGCACCTCATCTCTGAGTCGTCGCCAGCGAAGTAAAGCTTTCAATTCCTGCTGCTCTTTTTCTTCATCACACGAAAGCTGCTTAGTGAAAAAAAATTATTAATTGGTGTTTTCCAGCAGACAACAAAATCTTCCAGAGAGTAACTGATGTTGTTTTCTTTTAACACCCAAGCAATGAAAGATACAGTGCAAACACACGTTAAAAAAAACAAACAAACAAACCAACAAAACAACAGTTATACTCTCTTGTTTAAGAGTTAATAGCAGAACTAAGAAAAACAGAAGCCTCACAGATCAAACTTGGTGTTTTCCCTTTAGTGACTGGCTATAAGATAACTGAATACACAGTACAGATAGCTCACATACTGGTTGCATCTTTACTTTTCTCAGTCTTGAAAGCAAAGAGCTCTTCCATGTCCTGACTTTATCCCTATTCCTACTATGCCTGTCACCCTGGTGAAAGTTCCCTTGTAATTTTCCACATTAACATAACATCAGGAGATGCATGCTTATGAAATAAATGTTAGGTTGTCAGCACACACATCAATAACTAATCTATGGTTTTTTGTTATAAGAAAAGATGAGATGGGAGAAGGTAAAAGCAGCTAATATTCTCCTACATCACATTAGTATTTCAGTCACAACTGCAATTATTGGTAGTGTGGAATACACACATAATCTTACAATTGTAGTATCACACAGAACCAAAACTACTCAGTTAAAAAAAAAAAACAATAATAAAAGCAACAATAGATTTTCTGACTGTATAAATTTGTGAATTTAATAAATCAGAAAATTTATATGGTCAGGGAAAAAACACCCTGTTTTGTTGCTCATTGCTTTCCAGCAACTACATGGAAAGGTGCCAACTACAATGGAAAAACTTTCAAACGAAAGTGCAGACTTAAAGAGAGCAGCTCACCATAGGGGAGTGATGCCCAAATGCAAGAATGAATTTTAAGACCAGAAGGGAAAAGCAAAGTGTTGGGATAGCCTTCCCCTCTTCCTCATTCCGGAAGCATTTTAAATATCAAGGAACTCTAATTCGTTTAGAACTATGAATACTCCTGATACTTAATAAAATGGAGGCTCAGAAGAGCTTGTGATGTCAGATCCCATTCTCACCTTCCCTCCCACAGATGCAGTTCTGAGAATTTTAATGGCAGAATCAGAGCCTAACTGACACAAGCAAAAGAACAGATGATGAACACACAAAATGCTTGAAGTAGGACAAAAATAAGAATTGGATCAGAAAACCTCTTTACTAGCAGACATGCAATATATAAGCTTTTAACTTTAAGACGGGCAATGATATCTAAGCTTCTGACAAGATGTTAACTCTTAACTATGAAATGTAAGAGAAAAAAAAATGTTAACTGCTAGCACTCTGTTTCATCAGCTTCCATTTTGTTCTGAGGCTTGCTGCCACATACAAAATCAAATCATTTTCATTAAGAACCTGCAATATTCAGCAAGACATTGCTGATTATTCCACTTTCAAGAGCATGGCACAAATGGAAAGAATGCATAGCAACTGTTTGATAACTGAGTGGTAGTATTTCAGTAAATGTTTCCACTCTTATTTGCACTGATCTTTACCTCTGTAAAGATTAGAGTTATTTATGGGTAGAGCAGGAAAGATTCTTTTTTTCCTTATTTTTTCTTTTTAAATCAAGTTAGCCTGCAAATTCCAGTATTATTTTAAAGAACTTAGCCTCATAACACAAAAGGTTTTATGAATACTTAATTCATAACAAAGTTGCTCCAAAAGTAGTGCCTCCTATTTATTTCCATTGAAACTACAGGAGATACAAAAAGCACAATATCATTATTTAATAGAGCAAATTTTTAGCTATAAAATACTACTGTTCAACACAGGCACCACGATTAGCTATGTATTTTCACCAGCAATGAACAAAAGCCTGAATGTTATGCTCATAAATATCTGCATCAGCAGGGGTCATCCACTGTCACACAGCTGAAATGACAACCCACCACCTCACTCTGCTCAGATCCACTGTTTGGACTCCAGAAACATTAGGCAGGCATTGATGAATGTCTGTGGGTGTCATTTTTTTCAACATGGAGGAATTCAGTGACACACCCTTGCTTCACATGCATTTCCATGTCAGACCGCCCCTCTGCTGCCATCCATCACACGGCAACAAAATGGAACAAAATACTGTTGGGAACGTTCAACTCTACTGCCATAGCACCAACATCCAACTCTAACATCATGGGCAAGAAAATAAAATAGGAGGCATTACTTTCAGGGTAGCACTCCTATACAGCTTTGACTTCCGCATGATTGAGAACTAGTGCATCATGATTGAGAACTAGTGCATCAAACTTACCTGTTGAGCCCTAGCCCAAAATACATCTTCTAAAAAAGTGGCAAACCCTTCACTTATCCACTCTTCAGTCCAATCACGAGCACCAATGGCCAATCCAAACCAAGAATGAGCAATTTCGTGGCACAGACGTGTTCCACAGAGATGGCTCCCTCCAGGCAATACACTCTGTGACAAGAAGATGATGTGTGGGCTGCACAGGGGAAATGAAGGACAAAATACATTATAAGTCTGTTGTAACATCCACTGCATGGCCATAATAATATGTAGACTTTATTAGACTTGTCAGCCTGTTATTACATATGCATGCTAGGTCATGACAAACAGTTTATAGTTCAGGCATTTTTGGGAATCAGGTTGTACTTTATCATTGCTTGGCAGAGAATCAAACTAAAATTCTGCCAAGCAGTTGTTTTGTATTCAACCATCAAACAGCTATTACCTGTAAGAAATAACCTAAACCAAACTTCTATATTTTTCAAATTACAAGACTGATTTATTTCAACAGAAGCATTTGTGTGTAAGCCAGGATGATAGATGATCAGATGTGAATACAGGCAGCAGTTATTTATCGGTTAAATGATCAAAGCTGGATGTAAAGAAAGAAACATTTTATAAAGAAAACAAATCACTATCTGAACAAGAGCCACATAAAGTAAAGCACTGTGCTTCTTACTACCTAAAACAAGCCAAAAAGATGCCATTTGAAAATAAGAGTTGATGATTTACGTAAACACAAAGGAAGGAGAACACCCTTTGCTACAAGAACAAGAGTGAAACAAAGGCTTAGACGCCCACTAAACATCTGCTTTTCAAAATAGCAGAAAATAACACAATCTATATCTACTCTATTTTGTACTCAAGTAATAAAAGAAAAAGCTGGAGAAAGAAATACTTGCTATCCATATTTATTCTGCTATGGAAAAAGCTTATACTGAACTGCAAGTTTCTGCAGCTCCCAGTTCATGTTCTGCTGTAAGGCAATTTCTGTTATGCTTACAGATGTTATAAACCACCACCTGCAGACTATTCCTGCACTAACCCTAGGCATCCATAATCTAGATTTCAACTGTTTTCTGTTAGAAAGGAAATGAAGCATAATGGTGATACCTTCAAGGCTACAGATATTTACGTTTAGCCTTTTGAGCGTGGATGGGCAGCACATGGTCTTAAGACGTTTCCAGGAGTAGATAATATTTGTCAGCCTTCAGCAGTGCTTCCCCCCCACCACCCTACCCTTTCTGGAAATGTTAATACACCCCCAGTTTTCCTGCAACCAGTTCACAGTGTCCAGAACTGAGAACATAAAGCATGATACACACATAAACAAAAAATCGTACCCAATAACAATCTTGTAAAAATGATAATAAAATAATAATAATAATCAAAAATCCTCATCCAGCACATTTCAATCATTTGGTATTGTAAAAAATAGTGTAATTAAAGCACCAATAGAGGAATTGAGTCACAGAGAACAAAGATAAAACTGCAGCTCTACAAATCTTTGCAAAAGATTTGCAAAAACTGCAAAAGCAATTCTAATTAAAAGAAGTAGAGGAAGAGAGAGGAAAAAGTAAGAGAACAGAAGATGTGGAACGTGATAAGCCTTCAGAAGCACAGAAGCACTACTGAGAAGAATTGCTGCAGCTCTAGGGGTATTACTTAAGCCAATTTTAAGTAAATGACCCCTAACTGTGGCATGCATACAGTGCTACAAAGAAGAAATGGAGAAATGGACCAAGTAAATAACATTCCAGACATACTGCTGGCAGTGTTTTGGCCGTATAGCTAAGTTAAACGCAAGTAACTTCATGCCTTAGAAGAAGGCTCATAGAATGATTTGCATTTTAAGTCTATTGCAGATATATACAATAGTACAGATTCTATTTTCTTCTATTTTCTTCTTTTTCCAACAAAAATAATGCAAGCACCACAATCAGAAAATCTCCTTTATGAAAGGATCAAAAAGCACTGAAGCAAGAAAAAGGAATGAGTTAAATTTTCGGAAAGGAATAAGAATGCAACTTCCTACAAGGCCTGACAAGGTAAGCCCACCTTTTAAATTAGTCTAGCTGACATCTTTTCAAGTCTGGCCCAAGTTTCTAAAGCAAGACAGAACAGGTTAGCTGGATGCGGTAAGAAAAATGGGAAACCTCTCCAAGGTTTAACAAAAAAAGAAAAACCTCACCAGTCCTTCCCAGTAAGCTAAACAAGTTCCCTATGCTCTTACAGCAACATAGAAGCTAATGACTTGCTTTCAATGAGTAAACACTTGGTTACACTTTTAAAGCAAAAGATTATTATTCTGACGAGAATTACACCCTCATAACTTACATATTTGTATCATTTGACTGAAAGAAGGAACATCTCTTTGTCCTAGTTAAACTTCCATTAAGGGAAATCTTAAGGGAAACTCCATAACTACAGTATGAATAGGAACACGCTAATAAAAATCTTTGCGCTCAAAGGACAAGAATTTCTTGGCATGGAAGATCAAAGAGTCTTGATGTTCCAGTCATCCAAATGTACCCACATTCTTGTTCTCTGTAAAAAATAAAATGTTTCCAATGACTCTTAACAGTAATCTGAACAACTTAAAAGTAAAATCTCTAACAGGAATTTTGCAAAACTATTTCTCCAAGCTCACACTTGATGCAGGTATCACTTGCACGGATGCTGCAGAGCTATTTTTGGTGACTCATGCACAGACAAGAAACACACAGCATAAACTGTAGCCAAATATATGTGCATGAATTGAATAGCTAAGAATGTCAAATACGTATTTCTAGTTGGCTTGTTGCACTACTGCACTGCTTTTGAAGGAGAACTCTTTCTATTTAAACATACAGGGATTTGTGGATAGAGTTTCTTAGATACTCTTTGATGTTACAGAGATGAGACAACTATGCCTCTGGAGTAAAAAGTAGCGCCTAAAATCACTATTACAAGTGGAAATTATATGATAAAAAATTTCATGTTTTGATAGTACTCCACATATTGTTTATCTTTTCCCATTTAGAAAAAGGAATCAGGTAGTAAATAGGTTAGCAAGTTATTGTATTTCCAGAAAATTCCTTCTTATACATATAAATGAGAGCAACAAAAACACCCCTAAAAATATTTTCATAGAACCACATTAAAACTGAGATATCCATTTCAAGGTTACTGGAATTTGAGTCAGTCAGACAATTAGATGACAGCTCTTTACAAATGCCTTGTGCGAGCTCTTATCAGTTGCCTTCAACCTACATTACTTCAGTGACAGAGAGAATAATAGTAGCACACTGTCTGTGGTATCTACATCATACATCAAATGTTAGTTTATATTTGAGAACACTTGTGTCATTTTAATGCAGACACAAGTACATGCCACATCCAATTACTCACCTCTGTAATCATCAGAATTCTAGAGCATACTACAATTTAGTCCCAAGAGAACTACAGAGATAAACAACCCTTTCTGATCTTCCATGTTCATAGTGTGCCAGAAACTCAAACATACACACAGATGCAGCTGTACAGACAAGAATTTTGTATTTAGAATACTCTGAGCAGTGTGCCAGATCCACTGGAAACTTTATAAAGATGTTTTCCCTGTAAGCATACTGGGAAATCATCAAATGAACGGATGTTACAGATGAGTTTTCTAGAGCAGATGACTGACTGCCATAAATCCTGAAGTAATACAGTGTTAGAGCAGGCAACAGGGAAGAAAAGCAACCCTTGTGTATCTGAAGGAGGATCATATTAGCCAATCTCGGAATACAGTAATTCAACATCCAAACTTCATATTACAGAGAAGAAAACATTAATCACTGACCTGAACACCTGAGCTGCAGCTGCTCCATGGATTGGCAGGCAATTACTTCAGTTTTGCTTGTTTGACTGTAGTCAATCAGATCAGTCAGAATATGAATAAAAAAGAGTGCCTCTCAGGCAAGACTATTCATTGCTACTCAGGAGCAAGAAGGAAACCAAGCTACTGAAGTAGTTCTTTTAAAATCAGATCATGAGAACTAACCACATACAGAGTGATACCATCAACTTCCTTGAATCCACAGAATGGTAAATTTAAAAGCAGGATTCACATTTCATATTTCTATCTTCAGGGACTTCAAGTAGAAAAGGCAAAGCTGTACCTACTAATCCAAGATATTTATTTACCTGGCCAAAAAAGCACACATCTAGCAGACAAGAAATATTCCTGGAAGTTTTCATTTTTACACCAGTCTTGCAAAAAATGGTCCTTTTCTATTTTTTTCCAGCATTCTTCTGGAGCTTACCTCAATTGTCCTCTATAATCCAACCAAAATATACTATCTTAAAATAGTGGACAGAAAACATCACTTCTCAGAAAAGGGTTACAAGTATTTCCCTAGATATAACTCTTGAGATCAGAACACATAACAAAATGAACAGTTTGTTAATAATGCAAGTAATTTATTTTAAAAATGCTGTCTCATTATCTCTCTTACAGAGCATACTACTATGACAAAAATTTAACCAAGATTTTACAAAATTCATGAGACAAAATAACTTATCTGTGGTTGATAATGTGCAGTCATATCATAGTAATAAATCCTACAGTAATAAATCCTACCGGCTTCAAGTGTTCTAACTTGGGAAATAACCGAGAAAGATTTTGCATGCAGGTTTCTCCTCTGATGCCTGAGATTCAAGTATTACCAGTGTACTAACCTGAGTACTAACTGCCTGCTGTTGCAGAAAAAGAAAAAAAATATGGAAAATTACAGGGTAAAAAGAATGAATTATAGACTCAAAACTTTCTCAGTGGCCATCAAGATTTCATTCTGATTTGTGTGAAACCTCCTACTGAAAAAAACCATGAAGAAATGGAAATGTCTTATAAAAATCAATTACATTATGCTTCCTAATAAAAAACAATTACAATACTGTAAAAAAGTCTTACAGATTAGAACATTTTGAGGACTGAAGCTTCCTATGCTGTATGAAGTAGTATCAATTTTTCATATTTAATTGATTTATTGGTAAAAGCAAAAACAAGCTCCATTTCCAACACTCACATCTCAAATGCAGTTACTCCTCAAAAAGTACTGACACTGTTAACACAGAAAATAACTTGTGAATTAGTGCAACCAACTTACAAATCCCTTTTTAAGTAATCACAATACAAAATTCCATTGTTTCATGCCTGATGTTTCCAAACAAGAA